AGATAAGACGGGCTGCAGTCTGGACATGACATTTAACCAGCAGGACGTATTAAACACTGACAGCTTGTTTACTCCGGACTCGGAGCGGTTCTCCTCTTCACCTTTTGTTCATCTCAGTCTTGTCATGTTTTACTGGCATGATTTCAAAAAGACAAAATAAAATTTACCGTGTGTGTGTGCGTTATCAGAAGGATTTAAGTTGTTTCTCTGGACATGGTTTGTCTTGTAGCACAGTACTGATGTCTCCACTGGGATAGTTATCATAACCAACATAACAAGCTGTCTATGTCAGGCCAAGAGGGCCAACCCTGCACCCTGTGGTGCTCAGCCCGGGCCTGTCCAGTCTCTGGAGAGAGGAACAAAGAAGACTGGCAGTTCTTTCATCTCCCCTCTGCATGCATTTTCTTTACACGTAGGTCCAGTTCCGAGGCTGACCCTTTATTCAGACTGAACAGCTCATATTTGGTTGAGTGATGAGCTGCGGCAGCTCTGATGTGCATCAGCAGATGCCAAAAATGTGTTTACGTGGTTGACGGTGTAAAATTGTCACACATCCAGCAGTTTAAAATCTAGTTCTGCTCCTAACCAGGGTCAAACGACCGCCGAGAAGCTGCATTTCTCTGTGGTTCAAGCTTCCCGCGCTGCACGGTCACTTCTTGAACTGATTAGCTCCGAGATGATTTATAGTGGAGGCTGCTAAAAATGGACGCGTCTCTGTTTTTCTCACCCCTTCTCTGTTTGCTGAGCTAATAACTGCTCATATAAAAATACTCTGTGGCAGTGTGCTGACTTAAGAAGGCGATTTGCACACGCCTTTAGCTTCAGTTAAAAACATAATAGTCTGTGCACCATCTAGTGGTGAGTCCACAGCATGCGTGACCCCACTGTCATGACTGGATCCGCCTCAAACGGATCTGATTCTACACTTGAGACTGTAACAAGCAGACCCACTTCAGATTGACTGGATTTATTGAATGTGCACTTTTAATTTAGGCCTTGAAATCAAATGTTACGGCTGCTGGTTCTGAACGCGTCATCCAGGAAGAGCAATAGAGAAACGTGCTCAGATGAGGTCATTCTTACGGCTCAGCTCGTTCAGACAGCCGAGCAATTCCTAAATAGTTTATAGATTGACAGCAGGAGACAGAAGAGTAAAGAAAATGCAAAGTTGAACCACTTCCTGTCTTTATTTAACAAGGTTAAGTCAGGTCCTCTGGACGGATTAACCTTGTTAGATTTTTCTACCTGGGTTATGAGCATGCATCAGGACTTCCTGTCTTTGTTGCGTCGATGAGAAAACATCATATGGACGGCACATTGCCATCACCCAGTAAAAACTAAGCGTTTAGTGTTCCTTGAAGGAATCTGTGAATTTGGTTATGTTATAGAGAACGTGGTGTTGGCTGAATTTGTTCAGTTGCGGTGGCCTCCGTGAAATTGTTTGTCTCCAAAAGTTAATGAGTTTTATATATACATCCAGTGAGTGCTTTCTGAAAGTTTTACTGAAATGCATCCATTGGTTCAGGAGATATTTTGCTAACAGACATAACTGACTAGTTAAAAGCAAAGCTTGTAAAACAGAGCTTGTGTGCTCAGTTATTGCTTCAGCGCAGCACCCTGCTGCTACCACAACCATTGTTAAAAGCTGATGGTGTTATAGGCGTGTTTGTGTTTGATGAGTTGGCTTAGCTGTGGCGGCCATGTTGAATGTAGTGACTCAAACAGCTGATCAGCTGCCCATGTGCTGATTACTTTCATCGAGTTTCAGTAAAATCTGTTCAGTGGTTCATGAGTTACGCTGCTAATTTTAGAGACAAACACACACATGCTCGCCCACTTAGCTCCGTCTGACTCATATTTCTCAAATTAAGAAACAATACTATTTAATTTTAATGTAACTTTTATTTATACAGGCCATTGAGTCACGAGGACTCATTTTCAATAGAGGCCAGTTTAAGAGCAGATGATGGGGGTTAAGAACCTTGCTCAAGGGCCCAGAGTGGGGCAAATGAGGGTGGAGGCAGGTGTGGGCGCTTCACCTTTCCCACCCACATTTTGATGTTGTCGGTCTGGTGAGTCGAACCGGTGACTTTCTGATCACTGGCCCACCTTCTCTAACCTCTGCGCCACCGCTCTCCGTTAGCGTCATTTTGGCAAAATTTTAGCTTTTAGCTACCGTGTTGCTGGTTTGAAAAAATTAGCTATGATTTAGCCAATTTTAGCATTTAGCTACAGTAGTGCTAATTTTACGTTTTTGCTATATTTACTCTACGGTGTCAGCTAATATGGTTCTAATTTTTACTCTTAGCTACTAATGAGCAAATGTAACTTTTAGGTCAAGGCTAAAGTGCGGTCAGGAGGCTGTCTCAGCCGGGCCTCTGACTGCAGGTCAGCTGCTGATTAAGCCTCCACAGCAAAGGTCTGGCTGCCCTGCTGCTCCCCAGCATCACACGGTTGGTGCTCAGCTGTAGGAGCAGTGCTCTATATGTTCTGGATCTAACAGGAAACTGTTGAAAGCATGAGAGTCAGCCAGGGATGCATCTCCACCTGCAGTGTCCCTGAAGACGTGATCCAGGTACAGTGCCTGCTCGCTTCTCTCCAACAAGTCGCAATCAACCTCATTCTGTCAACTCAGGAGGCTGCTGGATCCTTACTGTGGACTTTTCTCCTTTTTTATGGTTTGAGAGCTGTTTCTGTTCAACTGGTTGACCTCAGTGTGACGTGTTTGTGGCTGCGTGAGTTCTCTCCATGTTCCCCAGCTGGTCAGCCTAAGCTCAAGAGCTGCGGGCCACATCTGGTCCCCCAAGATGACAAATGTAAAATATTGTATCCCTTCTAATATTTTGTGTTTAAAAAACTCGATAAATGCATCATTTAGTATAGACTTTTCTTACCAGCTGGCTAATTTTAAAGTCAGAAAACAGGCGGGATCATTCTGTCATTATTGATTCTGATGTGGAACGAGTAATAGAGCGTCAAACGAGACACATCAAACTCTTGATCAACTTGCAACCAAGAAAGTATATATAAGGTGTCTGATCGGTTACTGTATCAGCTGAAAGTGGCCCGTGGCTCGGACAAAGTGTTTAAAATTTGGCTCCTTTTGGTAACTGAGTTCGACAGGCGGTGACACAGTTGTAAATTAGAACAAGTCTGTGTTAACTTCGAGCTTGCTCCTTGTTTGAAACATGATGGAAAGAGAGTGGTGATCAAATATTTATTTTTGCTACATTAGTAGCTCTTGTTATCCGCGAGTAAAGACTGAATCCTGTGCAGTGTGGACAGAAGGACTGGATGATTGGCTCCTCTATTTTTAGCACAGAGCTGTCAGAATCAGAATCTGCAAAGTTATTTTTAAATAAAGCCCACATCAAAAGTTAAAGAACAACAAAAGTTGCTTCTGTTCAGTTTGAAGTTATAAGTAGGCTAGAGGCACAGAACAATCCTCTGTATATTTTAATCACAAGTAATTAATTTGTTCAATGAAAGTAGCATCCTTAAAGGAATATACATTACCTTGTGTGACAATGTTTTAATTAAAGATCTTATGTCTCATATGGCTTATATCGTCAACTTGTTAGGGACAAGTCTCATCGACTAACACACCAACTTTTATCTAAATATCTGTAAAACTGACAGAGTTGTAGCCGTTTGTGTGTCTGCAAGGTTTCATTAGCTGTGGTGGCCATCTTGACTTTGGTTGTCGCCATAAATCAATCACTTATAGATAAACAGCCAATAATTACTTTTCAAGAGATTTATAAACATCTGATCAGTGCCTCGCAAAATATTTTGCTAACAGACGGACTGGATTCACTCCAACAGTTAATACCCATTTTAAACAAAGATGTCATACGATCCATCAGCACTTGGAGTGCTCGTTGGGGATAACTCTCAGCTACTACCACACCAAAGTTGAGCTCAATATTTATCGAAAGGACGGAGTTACAGCCATTTTTGCGTTTGTGTGGATCAATTAGCTGTGGCAGCCATCTTGAATCTGATCGACCCCCGAAGTTAAAATTCAGTTTTAGATGTAATTTTTTTTAAGCGTTTCAGTAAAATGTATTTAATAGTTCATGAGAAATTTTGCTAAGAAACAGACATGTACACTCATCCCCCCCCCCCACACACACACACACAGGTTTGTTTTGCTATCTTTGTGGGGCCTTTGCATTGACTTCCATTCATTTTTCATTAATTTCTATAGCCTAACCATGACCTTTATCCATAACCTAACCATTACC